TGGCTGCACGCTTCTCCGCCCGCGTGGAGCCGGCGCACAAGTCCCGCATCGTCGAGTATCTCCAGTCCTTCCACGAGATCACCGCCATGGTGAGTCCCCCCAGGGACACCCCACCGCCCCCCGGTCCCCTCCTCTCCGCCTGGCCCAACCCCTTGCACCCCGTTAATCACGGCTTCGTGCAGACGGGTGACGGCGTCAACGACGCCCCGGCCCTGAAGAAAGCTGAGATCGGCATCGCCATGGGGTCGGGCACGGCCGTCGCCAAGTCGGCCGCTGAGATGGTGCTCTCCGATGACAACTTCTCCACCATCGTGTCGGCCGTCGAGGAGGGCAGGGCCATTTACAACAACATGAAGCAGTTCATCCGCTATCTCATCTCCTCCAACGTCGGGGAGGTCGTTTGGTGAGAGCCCCCCGCACCAGGCACCATGCTGGGGGGAGCAGTGGTGGGGATGTGTCCCCTGGGGCAGGTGACCTGCTCGTGTCCCCTGCCCCTGGCAGCATGTGGTGCCCAAAATTGTAACCAAACCGAGCAGCTCTGCCTTTTTCCCCAGGGATAGGGGGATTTTTCTTTTGTGGTTTTATAAACACGCCACCCCCCAGGAGCTGTTTTGTTAATGCATTGCCTATTTAAGCTCATGCCAGCGTCTAAGACGGGTGCGGATATTTGTGGACAGGCTGTTGTCACCAGGTCGCACCGATGCACTTTGCATCAGGTCCTGGGGAAGTTCTCCCTGTCCCTGTCCCCTGCCCATCCCTCCCAGTCAATCAGTGCTGGCCTCAGCCTTGGGATCACTTGGGCATCCTTTGCCCTTGCATTTCAGCAGGGGTGTTTGTGCTGGGAACGGGAACCCGCGTAGCTGTGGGGACGTCAATGGTTGGGTTTCGACTGCAAAGCAAATTTTCGTAGTGACAGGAACAAATTTTAGCTGCAAAGTTCAGTCCTGGACTTCAGGCTCCTGACTCAGGGGCTGCAGGTTCATCTGCAGGACTTTGGGTGAATATTCAGTTTGGGGTGTTGGGATCCAGGGTTCCTGCTCGCTCTCCCCTCGCACAACACAGACACTTTCTCTGCCTGCCCTGGAGCTCATCTAATTCAGCATTTCTGATTTTTTCCCCCACAGCATCTTCCTGACGGCCATCCTGGGCTTGCCCGAGGCCCTCATCCCCGTGCAGCTGCTGTGGGTGAACCTGGTGACGGACGGGCTGCCGGCCACCGCGCTGGGCTTCAACCCCCCCGACCTGGACATTATGGACAAGCTGCCCCGCAACCCCAAGGAGCCCCTCATCAGCGGCTGGCTCTTCTTCCGCTACCTGGCCATCGGAGGTGAGCCCCCGCGGGCGCCGGTGGGCAGAGGACGAGGACGGGCATGGGGTGCCGTGGGGTAGGGGGCTCCTTGCCGGGTGCTGGGGGTAAGGGTGTCTCTCTCGGCCGCAGTGTACGTGGGCCTGGCCACGGTGGGCGCAGCGACCTGGTGGTTCTTGTACGACGCCGAGGGACCGCAGGTCTCCTTCCATCAGCTGGTGAGTCGGGAGGGGAACGGGGCGACGTGTTGAGCAGATGGGTGAGAGCACGGATTCAGGCGTTGGGGTCTTTCTTCTACCCTTCTTCTGTGGTTGTTGTAGTGTTGCCAACTTCCTGGTGGAGAAGACAATAATTTAAAATAAAAGCAAATTCTCTCCCTCAGGCTCATGTTTCCAGCCTTGCTTCTGCCAGCGACCAGCATGGTGGGAAAAACTTGATTCAAAGAAGCTGAAAGGAGCTCCCGTACCTGATCCCACATTGAAAGGGATCGATTTTTACATTCTGAACAGGTCTGAACAAGGAGGTGGGAAAGCGGTTGCCATCGCATCCCGATGTCACGTGCAATGGAGGATGTGGTTTTGATGGAGACGCGTGTGTGCTCAAACACCTTATTAACTGCACGTGAAAATCCCTAAGCCACGATCCAGCCATAACCCCAAAGCCCCAACCACAGCAGAAGCTGGGTCACTTTAGACAGTTTTATCAGTTGCTCTGAACCGTGGGATATTTAACAGCACCCCTAATAATCAAGGTTGACCACGTGCCCCCCTACCAGTCGACCTCTTCCTCCTCCTTCCTCCCTTTCCTACGCTGCTGCTCTGCCGTGTATTTACCAGCGGTTTCCTGTGCCGACAGAGGAACTTCATGAGGTGCACCGAGGACAACCCCATCTTTGAAGGAATCGACTGTGAGATCTTTGAGTCCCGATACCCGACCACGATGGCTCTGTCAGTGCTGGTGACAATCGAAATGTGCAATGCCCTGAACAGGTAGGGTGGCCGCAGGATTGCTCTGTGGGCTCTACGTGTGACCGATTTTGTGTAGGGTCTCTCTGAGCATCTGTTGGTGGGCTGAGGGCTTTGCTTTGACTCGACAGAGCCATTCGGAGTGTTCTCGCAGGGGACCACAGGGCTCACTTTAAATAAACCCCTCCAGGCCAGCGTGCTGCTGTCAGTAGTGCTGGAGGAAGGACTGGATCTGCATCCGTTAGCACTTTGGCCCTGTTAACGACCGGCCCTAGGCCATGCATGGCTGGTTGTGTTGAGATGGGTGTCCAGATCCAAATCGCGGCAAAACCTGAAGCTGAACAGTCTGGAAGAGAGGGGCTATAGCATACAGCCTTGGAGAGGAGTGGGAACGCCCAGCTCGGGCAGGAGGTTATTGGGGCTAACACTTTCCCCTCACTTTCGCAGTGTCTCTGAGAACCAGTCGCTGCTGCGGATGCCACCATGGCTCAACATCTGGCTGCTGGGGGCCATCGTCGTGTCCATGGCTCTGCACTTCCTCATCCTCTACGTCAAGCCCATGCCTGTGAGTGCCCTGTGCCACGTCCGCGCGCAGCCCGGGGGGCTCCTCCCGTGGGTGAGGACATCCCCTGGAGCAATCTTTGGGTCTGGAAACTTCTGGGATGGTTGTCCCCAGCGTGTGCCCTCAGGACCAGGTCCTGTGACTCAAACCAACACGGGGACCGGGAGGCACCCTGCCCCAGTGAGCCTCTACTTAAGTCAGAAGCTCTCCTTATAGGCAATGCAAAGGGGTATGGATATCTCAGCTCCTTCTGGAGGCATCGCCTCCCTTTGCAGTCTAAGGCTGGTGATGCCTCGGTTGATGCCTAAGGGTGCTTAAGATGAAGCGGGTCACCGCGCCTAGGAGATTACATTGTCCTTTGTCCCCTTCTAAGCGCCTGTGAGCACTTACAGTCCTAGCTTGTGCCTCACTTTCCTCATCTGCAAGAGAGATGAAGGACATCATTTTTGACTGGTCTTGGCCAAGAGCCACCTTGGGATCATGACAGACCTTGAAGAAATCCTGTTCTTTGGGCTGTCTGGATCCTCCCTCCTTGCACCTGGGATGCCCCATTCTCAACCTGTGCCATACCACGACCTGACCTTTCAAACAAACAACAAAATCCCACCTCCTTCCCTATTGACATGTCCGATCCTTTCTGCCTTGCAGCTCATCTTCCAGGTAACCCCCCTGAGCTGGCCGCAGTGGGTGGTTGTAATGAAAATCTCCCTGCCCGTTATCCTGCTGGACGAAGGACTCAAGTACCTTTCCCGCAACCACCGGGACGGTGAGCGTGGTCTGCACCGCACTGGGTTATGTTCGCTTCGTGGTGCTTTGCTTGGGGTTCGCGGTGGCTTCGCGGCCACCTCGCTCACCTCCTCCGTTCGCGTGGTGTCTGCACCTGCACGTCCATCCACCTGTGCTGTGAAAAAGGGACTTTTTCTCCTACCCCCCTTTCCTTCCCCGGTGCCACGCCAGGCAGAGCAGTTGGTACTTATATCTGCTTGAAATACTCCCTTCGGAGCTGGAGCACTAGATAAATCTGCCACGTGTGTTTATCCAGCTCCTCTCGAACCTCTGGGAACTGGATCCCTTCTCTGATAAAGCAAAACAAATCAAACGCTGGTTTCTAACAGGAATCCTTCATTTTTCCCCTCGATTTTCCACCCCTCCATGGCCGTCCTTATCTTATATTTGTTACCGCTATTTTAAGATCAAATGAGAGCTGAATGTGTTATAAACTGGTTTTAATGGGGTTGCTCTTGGCCGGCACCTCTCAGGATCCGTCCGGTGGCAGAAGTTCCCGTGTGTTGTAAATCACGGCATGTGTTTAGGCAGCCCTCCAAGGAGATGATAGCATCTTTTCTTTCGTTTCTTGCAAAAGATGTTGCTGTGGGCGGTATCTCGGCGCTGAGTTAAACCTGCAGGTTTTCCGGC